TTCAACGTAAAAAAATAATAATAATAAATTACAAAATGTTACAGAATGGGTTTCTCTAACAGAACCTTGCTAGCCTTTTTCTCTTCATCTCCCAGCTTCTAGTGTAGTTCCAATAAAAACAAAGAGTGTGTGTGTGTGTGTGTTTTTTTTCTTTTTTTTCTTTTTTTCTTTTTTTCTTTTTCTTAATAAAAGGAAGCCTAAAAGCAGAGCTGAAAATTTTAAAGCATGTTTGCACTAACCATTCTAGAAAGTCAGATCCTTCAACTCCAGCAGGCTTCAGACTATATGGACCTTCTTGCAACTTTTCCTCCTTCTCTAAGCAGTCCTCCAGCCACCGAGAACCAACTACATGAAACCCCTTCTTCCATACACAACATTTCTCTGCACCGGAGAAACTATAGAGAAGAGGGTAAATTAGAATTAAACCTTCCAAGGCTGTGTGAAAGGCTTGATCCATAGTGTAGGTTAATCAAAAAGCAAATAAGAGCAGGCACCAATATGTGATTATCCATGCTGGAAATGCTGCAGACCCCTTCCCTACCTGGCTACCCCCTCCTCCCCCTCAAACCCCAGGTCCCCTCAGACACAGGCTCCACATGGTGAAGTCTGACATGAAAATGGATCTTACACTGATGAATGGCCCTGAATAACCTTTTCCTATAACTTCTTCGTCAATCAGATCATGCTACATTATACTACAAAGTCCTACTGCTGACACCCAAAATTGCACCTCCTCAACATATCAATGGAGCAGAAGAAAAGCTATGCCCAGGTGCTAGAATGCCATAATGCAATTGACATGGAAATTGTTGCCAGGCAGACAAGCTTAAGCTACAGAATTTTTAACAGTTACAAAAAGACTATCGTATCACCCAAGGTGAAAACTCAGGAAATCCAAACCAGTTTGATTAAAGTTCAAGCATCATTTCAGATACCTTAATTACTGTTCTAGAAGCAAGACAAATTGTGTGACCAATAAGATCAATAAACATCCCACATTTGTGTGACTCAAATCATATAAGATGGAACACCAAGACAAAATTTCAGTGTATTACCTCCTCAATAGAGAATTGAAGTCCACATTAACTCCTGGTAACGACAAGACAACCAAATGAGTAGCATGCTTCAGATCCTTACTGACCTTTCCACCACCCATTAAGACTTCAAGCTCCAGCCTCCTCCATGCAAGTCTCAACAACAATTCCCAATCAGATTTCCTTCATCAAACAATTGATTACAAGGATGAAAATTAACAACCAAATGATAGAACGTCTATGACACTTTAGTAGAATGCATTCAATCATGAAAGGCAAGCACACAAGATAAATAGGGAAATTTTATCAGCCAGAGGTCTTACAAATGCTGCATTGGAGTATAGAAGTAAACAGAGCAGTCATGAAAGCAAGACCATCTATCCTTTGGACAGTATTTCTTCTTATAATGGTCTATGATTTGAGCATTCTCTGACCTTTTGATATTGTTTAACAGCTGGAAGATAAAAAGGAATTGAGTTATGTTTATCAGAAGGTAGTCCCATACTACTTGAAAGCTGAAAAGAAGAATGCATTTCTTAATGCATGGATAATGTAGAGTGTAGCTTCTGCAGCAATATTTAGATAGATAGAAGTAATCATATGAAATTATGTAAGAACCTGCTTGAGGTCTGCAAGGTCAACATCCCAATAATAAGGGTCTGAATATTCATCAATTTCATCCTGAAACTTCTTTTTTGAAGAATCAGAGAGGAAAAGGAAGTACCTTCAAGAGAAAACACTTAGTCAAAGGCATTGAAGGCAGAAAAATAAATGAGGAAAAATGGACCTCCATCTCATGATTTAGAAATTAATTAAATGATAGCATTACTCACTTTGGCTGCAAAGGGATGAGCTTCTTCTGCAAACAACAATCCAATAGCCAAGTATAGTTAATAATATCTCCACGAAGCTTTGCTGCCTGATATTTAATCCCTGAAAGAATTTGCTCTTCATTAAAATTTTCAAAGAGAAGTTCCTTTGCATAGAATAATTTATGTCTACATTCTTTTTGCCACTATTGTGTGTGAGAGGGAGCAAGAGAGACGTAGAGACCTTTACTTTCAGCTGCAATGCAATGGGTAACTGAGTTGTTCAAATTCATTGAGAACATTCCTCCATTCTCTACAACCATTTTGTGTAAGGAATCGAGAGAATGGGTTGGAGGCACATTAACAACGTCTTCACTAGTCAAGGCAACATAAAGCACAGTGTTGAAAGAAAAACTCAGCAGTATACACTAATACACTATCTCATAGAATAATTGCAGGAAGATCATGAGGCCCACCAAATCAAAAGCTTGTTCTTTGTTTAATCCCAGTTGTCGGCATCTAAATAAGAAAGTTTAGTAATCATTTTATAAACTAGTAAAGGCAGAACACCTTGGTCTTCATATTCATAACGACAAGTCTGCAAAGCTAGCGACTATCTGGGGAGGGAAGGGAGAGAAATTAATAATAAAACTGCTACCATGCATATGACAAGTTTGGCTAAACAATATATATATATATATATATATATATATATTTGTCCATTATATGATGCACAGGAGATGAATCCACCAAAAAAGTCAAGACCACCAAGGATACAGAACATCAAATTTGAAAAAATTAAGGTTTCCCCTTTGATGCCTGAAGTATCAGTTTGGATAAACTGAGAAGGAACCATGGAGACAGTCTTCTTCTCACCCCTTCTGCTGGGTCCCCTGGACTTTGGTTTACTATCTTGTGTGGCTCTGTATTCTGTCCCTTTTTGAGTGTTCCCATTGCTTGAGTGTACAAGCTCTACAAATGCTGCAGGTCAGAAACAAAAGCCAAATTAACCAAACTAAGGACATACCAGACAGTAGCCCTATAAAAATGAAATCAATATAAGTATAAAAATTAAGTAAAATGATGCAATTTGATTATCTTATGTCCCTTACACTGGACGTCAAGGCATTCATACCACGGCTTGTCATATCTGACTCTATCAATTCGTGGAAATCTCAGGCTGTATGGTGCAGCAAAAACCTGAAAAAATCAAAGATTGATAAATAAGAGCAAGTTAACAGACAGGGATGATCATCTAAATGCACCAGAGGCCAGGTCCAGTACTAGATAAGAATGTTATCTCTAACACTTCATTTAAGCAGAATTAAATATAGGATAACAAGGACATACTTCAGAATTTATAGTCCGGATATCGCTGGTGATAGAAAGAATTATTGATCTGTAACATTAGGGCAAATAAACAGAAATACACAAGCAACGATATAATGAGACCAAAAATTTCCTCAAGAGTATAATGTAGGTTTCGCCAAAAATAATCTATAAACAAGAAGGCAGTATAGAAATGCTAACTTCTCTGGGCTTTCAATCCAAACATCTGGCCTTTCTTTTGAATTATTAGTAACCTGATAAAAACTTGGTGGTGCCTTCTTTGGGTATTCATGTTTCCTAAGAAACATAACAGGAATGTGTAAGTCTGAGGACCAAAACAAAAGTACGTGGGTATATTTCCATCCACAATAAATATATTTTCTAAACTGCTGAAACAGTCTAAATAACCAAACTAATAAGCTGACTTTGGATTTCAAACTGTAAGCATAGTAAATTGAACAAATTTACAAGAGTGGCCCCAAAATCATGTATCCAGTAACATTTTAGGGTGTAAAAAAATCTGTACAGATTGCTTCCAGGACACAATCAATAAATAATTTAGTCGTTATACATGAATTCCTTGTCATAAACATTTTTGTCTTTTTCTTCAAATAGAATGTTAGCTAGGCCAACCAATAACTTCTTATGTCATCAATGAACTGACATACAGCTTGGTAGTTTTGGATTTCTGTCAATCTGTGAATTGTTATGTCATATAGGCATTCCAAAGCTAATGAGCCACTAAAGAAGCTATCATGTGGCATCACATGAAAGCTTATTTTGGAAAGCTTGGGGATACTATTTAAAAGTTGAAGAGATGTTCACAGTAGACTATCTTTATATTACCTGTCAAATCTACGACTCAACAACTACATTTTTTTTTATCAGGGAATAAGTTGTTACAAGACAGAACATTGATGAGGCTCTTTAGAAGTCCAAGGCTATTGTGCAGGTTATAATGAAAGTTACCTTTGATGCCAAATCTATTCTGTTGCTACCATTGCAATCCTAAGAAACTCATTGACATGGAACATCTTGTTTAGAAAAAAGAAAACATAGGCTATTAACATCCAGTTACCAGAAATGTACCTAAAATAAGGCTTCAATTTCTGAACAACAGCATCTAACTCCTCGTCAGTCAACCCAGTGCCTACCCTACAGAAAGACAGGAATCTGAAACAAAATGACCAGATTAGCTAGGTTACAAATCATGTCACAACATAATTAAACAAAGATTACCCAATTTGGAAGTGAATGATAAAATTGAGAGTTCAATAAAAAGAGAAATTATTTTAGCCCAAAGGAAAATTCCCTTTGAAGACAGCAGGTCTCAGTTTATACAGTTCAGTGGTTTGTCTGAGTTTAATGTTGAGGAAATTTTAGTAGTTTTTAACTTTGTTTAAACAAGCCAATGTTGTTGTCCACTGATTCTTATTTGAATCTTATTAAAATATTTTGTCTTTAATTAGTCCCTAGTTAATGCAGATTGAATTTCACTTCTAAGAGTAATGATATTAAGAATTCGGATCCTAGTAGAAATACTTTATACAATAATTCTTCTGTATTTCCAAATTAATTAGAATTCAGTTCTATGAAATTTGAGTTATTTCCTAACAAGCTAAGCCTACACTGGCACTGGGCCCTAGCCTTAATATTCAGTTGAGGAAGGTGCACCTGAGGACACCACCTTTAACTATAGGGGTAAGAGAGAGTTGAGACAAGAGATTATAAAAAGAACAGATGTAGCACATAGGTGGAACAGTTGGTAAATATTACCGCCTAGGATAAGTATTCGAGTCAGATTGCTCAGCTAACCCCACCAGGAATTGAGCTACCTGGAAAAAAGATAAACCTATGCATTGAGTATTTTTCACCTTTTACTCTCAACAAAAAATTATAAATTACATATGGAAAATAACCAACAAACAAGGGAAAACTTACCTCCCCTCCATGACGCCCAGAGCCATAATATCCCCCTATAACCCATTATGTTAATAATGAAATACATGTATTAAATTGCTTTATAAGAACTCAAAAGTAAAAAAAATGCAAACCTATAATAAGAACATCCAAGTCAGAACCAGCACGAATGTACTCAGGTTTCAGCTTCAACCACTTTCCACTTCGATCGCCTGGTTCCCATTTGGAACCATAGTCTTTTAGCACAATTCCTTCATCCCTAAGATGATAAGAATATTATATAAAAATATAAATTATTAAGGAAAAAAATCCACAAATAATTTCTACAACAGAAGTTAGAATCATAAAGCTCATAGCTCATTGCCTTAAGCAAATAAAAGATTTATTTGATCCTGAAATTTTTAAGAAGAATGCTGACCTATTTTCAATAGTTTCCTTGAAAAATCTTTCAACGTCATCCATGCTATAAGCAAGGCACGACCAGTATGGTTCCCCTGTAATATTAGCATAGGATTGACAATGTTCTTCTCACACAAGTATAAATATTGTACATAATTACGAAATTTTACATGCATACAATAGTCTAACATGACATAATGGACAGTTAAAGACTAGGCACTTGAAACATTTATGCCTTTACCAGGAGGGCGATGAGTATTAAGACCACCATTAGGCAACAGAATCTCTAAACGATTCTTCAAAGGCTTCACAACTTTTTTGAGAAGCTCATGCCGCTCTTTCAAACTTTGGTGAATGACACTAGTATCTCCAACATAAAGGATATCAAATGTAACATCTAGCCAGTGGCATGTCAAGGGTACTTCAAAAGGTTGTTTGTTCAAATGTATAGTTGATAACTCAAAAGTTATTGGCCACTAAAAACCTATCAAGTGATTTGGTAAAAATGGAAGGATACAGCACAACTGCACCACAGATAGAGAAAAGAAAAAGGCAAAATAAGTTACATATCAGAGTACAAATAATTCCTAAGAAGTATAAATGTAAACTCTTCACAACAAAAATACATGTCTCTCACTATCAAGTCCATCTCTTGCAGCCTTGGCTGTAAAGAATTGAAAAAAAAAAAAGAAAAAAAGAGAGGGAATAAGAAGGGAAAAAGAAGAAAATAAGGATCAATTCTGCAAGAAAATATGAAGAACTGGGAATAAAAAAACAGGAAAGAGAGGTAAAATTATACAAACCTATTTCCTGATTTGAACCAAACTCAGCAAAACGATTTGAGGAGGCATCCCACACTAACATTTCTCCATCAAGTATGCATCTACATAGCATTACAAAGGGAAAGATTGCAAAACAGCAAACAAAATCTCCATAAGATCTGGAGATATCCCTTCCAATGAAGGCATTGCAAGAATAAAATGTGGACAGAAAACACCCCTCAAAACCATTGCATGTTCACAAGTATAAAGTATCCTATGCAAAATATTTAAATTGAGCCCTTTTGAGATTCTTTGGAAGTAAAATAAAAAATAATATTGTGGCTCAGTTTGCACAAATGTGACTCTTCAAAATATTTTGTGGAAATTATTTTATGGAAAAAAATAACAATTTCTATTGTTTGGATGAAATTTTGCTTTAATATTCATGTATGCATTAAAAATAAGAAAAAGATTAAAAATCAATGAAACATTATCCTATACCACGGTAATCTGAGATAACTTCTTACCTATCAACCAGAATGTTCTGCATAATAAGGTCTGACATTCCATGAGCATATTCAGAGTGATCAAGAAAGTTCCTGTGCACAAGAGACAAACCCAATGCATAAGAGTTTATTAGTCACTACTTGCTAGCAGTACCAGGAATAATTTACATAAATTCTTGAAAAAATGAAATCAATTTCCTTGAGTAATGATAGTTCTTTTAGATAATTGCAAGGGACAGAAAAAACAATGGCTACTGAAAAATTCAAACACCTTGAATAGTAGTGTATCTCTGCTCCATTTTTATGGATTTGGATCCGATCACCATCAAATTTGCACTCAACAACCACATCCTTCCCATGAAGCTAACAAAGGAAATGGAAATTATCAAAAAGGGACAACAAAGAAAAGCTAAAATAATGAATAATTAGCCAGGCAAAAACAAAGCCATTCACTAAAGAGAATAATTAATAGATCACAAAAAAGATGTCACTTAAAGAATAATTAACCTCAAATGAACCAGCAACCTGATATCATTATGAACGAAATCTCAAAGAATGCTGTGATTGTGAATAGAGATAACAGACAGATAACTTCTTGAAGCATAAGGAAAATATGCCAATCAAACCTTTTTCCATGCAGCAGCTGGATCACTAACTCTCATGGCTAGTTGAGGGCGCACAGCTTTTCCCACTTCAATATCCTGCAAAAATTGAGCAGGTCATTACCTTAAAGAATCCAGAACATGGGCCACTTCTTTTCCTTTTGGCTAAGGGGAAGCATGGGAGAAAGGATCCTAGAACAACTGCCTAGGTAACACAGAACTTCAATGAAAACAGATAACAAGTTAGAAAAGCCTGCTTAAGATCTATAGCAAAGCGAAGTAGATGAGAGTCCACTAAGACATTAACTGGAAAACACATGTCAACTTGATGATACCTTTACCTTTACTTGCATGTACCTATAAAGAAGTAACCAGACAGAAGTGTTGAGCTTTGAGCAAGGCACACATTCACTTTTTATAAGGTTATAGATAAACAATCTCATACCTTGCTTTAAAAGTATACAAATACAACATTGACATTCTGAAGCATAAGATGTTGAAAGATATTCAGAAAACAGGATTTGCTAAATACCTGGCGTTTATGCCTTTGCCTATGATCCCTCAACTTTTCACAGACCAATTTTAAGTCACATGTGACATTAAACAAGTCTTCAGCGTCGGGATGAAATTCATGAAATATGCTCTTCTCACTAATTCCCAACTTAAGATCTGCAAGAAATTTACAGCTATAGTTGGAACTCACACCAAGGACAGATACATAAAATAGGATTCTGATAGATGAAACAGAAACCTTTCAGAATTATCATGACAACCCACTTCATTTCCTGTGCGTTGGTCTTCTTAATCATGGTAGAAAGAACCGAGATTTTCTCTGCCCTGTCATCTCAGTTGTTGAATATAGAAACAAAAGGAAAACAAAAGGATTTTGGTCACACTTCAGAAAGCACCATACATAATCTGAACTTCTAGAAACAAAAGGATCTAGAAACCGAACTGAACTTCTAGAAAAGTTATTAAAAAAAAAAAAAAAAACACTTAAAAAGAAATGTCCAAATGTCAAAATGCTCTTGGAACACTACTGATTAAGCAACATTCAGTAAGCAAACATACCACAAACTCCTAAGAAGATAATCAAAAGCTTTTACCTGCCGTCACTTGAAGCCAACCGATCGAGCAGGTCATTTAACTCCCTGATTGTTAGCCCACCAGAAGTCATTCCTTGCCTGCGCTGCAGTACCTACTTCACAAAAACCAAATATAACAAAAAAAAAAAAAAAAACCTAAAAATGTAAAAACTTTTGGAACCGTTGGCCGATGCTTATGTACTAAAACTCTTTAGTTACACAAAAAAAGAAATGGCATGCATCAGATGGCATGAGACAAACCTCAGCAGCAACGAGGGCGAAATTGCCGGCATTGATGCCGGTCTTGGCGCCACCCTTGCGCCAATTGATGAGACGGACGGCGTCCTCTGAGTCCCTAGACATCCCGAGGGCGTCGATAAGGCAGGTGGCGAGCACAGACTCCTTGAGGCCGTAAGAACCCCGCTCTCTGTCGAGAGAAGGAAGAATGAGCCGGATGGCGCTGAAGTAGTCATCGGGCTTACAGAAAGTCTCGAGGAATTTCCGGAACTTGGATCGCTTTTGAGCTGCGGTTTTGGTTTTCTGAATCCAGCTGAAGAGGCTCACCAGAACGCTGAACTTCGTTTCCCCTGTCATCTCCGGGTTCAACGGTCTATCTGTTTTTCAGCGACGACTGGCTGAGTTTATTTATAGGAGGACCGCCACCGCCAAACGCCCGAAAGCTTGCGGTTGAGGGGGAAGGGATGCGTTTGCGAACATTTCGATTTTTTCTGAATTTGTTCTTTTCGTCCCGAAAATTCGTGTGATAACAATTTAGTCCAAACAAAATTAGCTTCCACTCGGGACTTATCTGATCAACTCCAATAGTTTATGGATTTAATTGATTAGATAAATTTTAGGACTTGATTGCATAAGAGAGGAAAGTTATTGGGCATTTATACATTAGAGAGGTAGCTTAACAATTTTTCTTTGCCAAAACCTCTTCTCATACGCACTCTCATCTCCTAAACCCCTTTCCACGGGCATGCTTATTGACCCTGTGGAATGGTTATTGTCATCTGACTTTTTGTTAAGTTTATTTAAAAAATATAATAATTATATTTATTTTAATTAATTTTATTAGTTTATAATATATAACTAATTATAGTATTTAAAAATATTAATTTATAATTTAATTTTAATATATTAATTATTTTATTAATTAATAATTATAATTATTAACTATTTTAACAATTAGATAATATTTTAAGTTACCTTAACAAAAGGCCA